ACGCGCCGCCCGCCTGCAGCGCCGCAATCTCCTCCCCCTTGCACAGGTTCGCCGGGCAGAGGGGGCAGCCGTGCGGCTCCGCGCGGCGCGGCATTACGACCAACCGGTGCGACGACGACCGCTGCTGCTGCTGCTGCTGCTGCTCCGCCGCCGCAGCGGGCGCGCCGAGCCCGACGCCCACCGCGTCGTCGGCGCACGTCGCGACGCGCTCGAACGACGCGCCGTTTGTGATGACGTCCTGCACGCAGCCGTGCAGCCGCGCGCCCGCGAGGACGTGGCCTATGAACACCGAGTTGCAGTCGGACAACACCTTCACGTCCACCCCCCGCGCCCGCGCGCCGCGCAGCATGCGCACCGACGCCGGCGGCAGCTCGGCGCCCATGCGCTGCAGCGCGGCGAGCATCGCGTCGCGGCTGACGCCGCGGCGCTGCATCTCGGCGAGGACGTCGTTGGTGAGGGGCACAAAGTTGGCGGGCATCTGGAGGGTCGCCAGCTGGGGCGCCAGCTCGGGGGCCAGCTCGCCCACGAGGCGCTCGCCTGTTGGTCGTTTGGGGTGGGGAGGAGGCGGGGAATGGTGGTTGGGTGCAGTGGGGAGGCGGGGCTGGTTGCGATTTTCCTGTCAGGAGCTTTGTGAATATGTTGCCATGAGTGCGGTGCAAGACCACTCAGGGGACCCAGCCGCCGGCACCCAAAGATGGGGCGCTGGGCAGGGTGAGGCGAGGCTGAAGCTGCGCGGAGGCAGGGCGCCCCAGCCACGGCTGAGTGTGCGGGGCAAACAGAGTGCTGGACGGACGCGGCAGCCAGCCCATTGCCCCAGGGACGCACCCGCGTCAAAGTCCGAGATGGTCTTATCAAAGTCGCAGACCAGCAACACCTCCTTCTGCTGCGTCACCATCGGCGTCGGCGCCGCCGCCGCTGCCGCCGCGGCCGCGCGCTGCTGCTGCTGCAGCCGCGCGCGCAGCGTCGCGGCCGCGGCGGCGGGCGCGGCGGGCGGCTTGCC